TGGGATTGCTCTAGCCCCAACTCGCTTAACTTCGGAGTTCTCATGACTCCGAAGCCAGTGAGCTCCCAAAAGGCTTCATGCTAGATGGAGGTGGGCATGTACATATAAGGCACATCACTCATCTCCGTTGGTCGATGTGGGATCTTACAATCCACCCCCCTTAAGGGCCCGACGTCCTCGTCGACACACTCACACCACACGGCAGAGTGGCTCTGATACCAAATTATCACATCCCGGGATCAGCTCCGCCGTAGCACGATATTGTCCGCTTTGGGCCCCCATCTCTGCCCTCACGGTTTTGTTTCTGGGAGCTCATGAGCAAATTCCCAGTAGGTCACTCATCTTGGGATTGCTCTAGCCCCAACTCGCTTAACTTCGGAGTTCTCATGACTCCGAAGCCAGTGAGCTCCCAAAAGGCTTCATGCTAGATGGAGGTGGGCATGTACATATAAGGCACATCACTCATCTCCGTTGGTCGATGTGGGATCTTACAATCCACCCCCCTTAAGGGCCCGACGTCCTCGTCGACACACTCACACCACACGGCAGAGTGGCTCTGATACCAAATTATCACATCCCGGGATCAGCTCCGCCGTAGCACGATATTGTCCGCTTTGGGCCCCCATCTCTGCCCTCACGGTTTTGTTTCTGGGAGCTCATGAGCAAATTCCCAGTAGGTCACTCATCTTGGGATTGCTCTAGCCCCAACTCGCTTAACTTCGGAGTTCTCATGACTCCGAAGCCAATGAGCTCCCAAAAAGCCTCATGCTAGATGAAGGCGGACATGTACATATAAGGCACATCACTAATATCTACAAATAACCACTCATTAAATATAAAAACAAGATTTGGAATGAAACAATAAAAATACTCTAATAGATTTACATGAAACAAAAGAAGATACTAACAACTATAAATTTAAGGATAAAACTTGTATTAATTTTGTACTCATCACAACGTATTTTCTTTCTTGTAAAGAAAAAGTCTATAAAATAAAACCTTTGTCTTCTTTGTTTGATAGAACTTTCACGATCATATTTTCAGTCCATAAACTTTGGAAAGCTGAGTTTTTATTTGAGATAAATCATCAAGTGTTCCATGTTTACTTGGTGATTTATCAAACACTTTTATCATTCATATTGCATTCATTTGCATGTTTGGTGACTCATATGGTTAAGGGCACAAAGACTGTGATAGCGATTTTTCTCCAGTGAGCTTGAATCGATCGTGACCAGTATGAGATTCAACATAAGGAGAGTTGGAAGAACTCCGGTGAGTTGAATCGATCGTGACCAGTATTGGATACAACATAAGGAGAGTTGGAAGAACTCTGGCAAGCTTGAAGCAATCGTGACCAGTATCGCGTTCAACATAAGGAGTGTCGAAGATCATCCCATGAGTACTTCTTGTAAACATTATGTAGAAGGTGTCTAGGATAAGTGTGCGAGTACTTCTTGTAATCATCGTTCTATAGTGGATTTGCCTTGAACTATTAGGTCCCGTGAATTTTCCCCAGAGGTGGGGTTCTACCACGTAAGATACTTTATGTGTTCTCTCTATTTTGGCGTGTTTTATTTGTATTACCATAGTACTCTTGACTACTCAAAACACAGACTTTACTCTTTTAGTGTTTTAAGCCATCCTATAGGTATTTTCACAACCACAGTAAGTTTAGAAGACCTCAGTTTCTGTCATCACCAGAAGATTATGATCTACAGCACCTGTTGAATGCTTCTTTTATTTTATTTATAAAATTTTATTTTTTAATAATTATTTTTAGTTATTTTTAATTAATGAAAATACCTTAAATTTAACGAAAATTTTAACAGAATTATACGTCGGTGGTGAATTGCAACACTTTATAAAGTTTAAGTGGGTAAAAATAAAAAATAAAAATTAAGGTGGTAATAACGCACATGCCTAAAAGTTCAAGTAGTATTTATGCAAATTTCCCTTATAGTAACTTCTTTTTTATAAATGTTAAGAGAGCTTGTGGTTTGCTGCTTGAAATGAAATAGACCAACAGGCCAAAAAAGTTTAGTATTTTTGCCAGGCCAAAAAAGCAGAAGAAAAAGCCGAATCCCGAGCAGAGATTAATCCCACTCTTCAAGTATTGGGACACCTCGTGGTATTTACTAAAAAAAGAAAAGCCAGAAGAAAAGTTAGACCACATAGACAAAAAAGTAGAGCCAACCACTGCCGTGCATAAATAATATCTACTTTGAGTCAAACAATTAGTTAAGTAGCTTATATCTGGGACCATGTATAATTTATTTGGACAACACTTTCATGATTTTGATTGTGACATAGACTTCACACCCAATTTATTAATTTTGCAGTCAATTTATTTATTTTAGGGTTCCGGGAGGAAGGGCTTCTTCTTCCTTCCAATTTTCTTCCATTAATGGCTGGCTCCCCACTTCCAACAACTGAGCTGATTATTATGAAGTTATGGGATCGGTTTAGTGTATTGAGCATGCAATGTGTATGATATAGGATGCGTGTGAGGATCATAACACATTTCCTTCAAGATCCTTGTATTTTGCATTACATTCTGGTGTCGTGCATAAATTAAATAGATAAATAAACTTGTATTATATTATTTTATCTTGCAATCATATAGAATTTTGACATCTCTTCAATTATGAAAGAAAAAAAAAATTTGGAAATTTCCTGCAAGGATATCAAATGCAGAATTGCAGATTAAATTGGAGAGCAATTAGCACACCCCTAAGCTTGCTAATTCTTATCCAAATGAAATTGAAAACTAGCCCAAAAAATTACCATCGCTGCACCGAGTAATTCTTTAGTGTGATGATCACACTGTCATGTATATTTTATTAATCCATGTATTATAATATGAGTGGATTGTAACATCACATGACAGTAGGGAATGCACCAACTGTCATGTATATTTGCGGTATCGCTGCACCAAAAATTACCATCGCTGCACCGAGTAATTCTTTACAACCTAATTAATAGATGGTCTAATTTAGTTAAGAAATATACATGTATTGATTTGGCTGCATAAAATAAAATAATTATAAACGTCAACTTAGGTTGTAAAAGGATTTACAGGAGGGTCCCAATACCGCTAGATTGTTTTACTTATTTATCATTTACAAAAATTAAGTAGCTGCCTTATATACAGTAGGGAATGCACCAACAACAACCACATTTTTGCTTCAAATAACACACTAAACGACGTCGCTTTTTTCCTGCAGATATCAATATTCACCTCCATTTTGTTTGTAATAAGCCTCCATCGTTAACCCCACGGAGAAATAATAGACTATATAAAGAAAAACAGAGTGCTCTGCCTTTGGGTTTTGGATTTCGAAACCATTAAAGACCCAAAACGACCAAATTACAATCCAATACACAGATTCAAGCTTATCCCAATCAAAACCCACAAAG